TTGGGGATCAAAATGGGGATTAAAATGGGGATCCAAGGTGTCAACTGTCCCAGCAGTACATACAATGAAAAGTATGTGTGATACCTTCTGCTTATTATACACAGAGACTCAATGTTTGGATTAATGCTTTAGCCATTGAATGAAGATAATCTGAAAAGGACTATCTAAACACTGACTGTATTTCATATCAGGAAAGAAGTATCAAACAAAGATAGGCGTGACCATCAAGCCATTTTACAAGTACATGTGTAATTATAAATTCCTAGATGTCCTATTTCTTTGTTAAAAAGTAAGGGGCCCTTGCTGCTATAGTAGTTGAATCCAGGGACCACACTCTGTATAGTGTAACAGTATAGCACTGGTCGTTTCTCTGGAATAATCTGGATAACACACAGTTGTCTCACTGGTATAGTGTGGATAACATGGATATATCACTGGAATAGTGTGGATAACACACAGTTATCTCACGGGTATAGTCTGGATAACACACAGTTATCTCACTGGTATAGTCTGGATAACACACAGTTATCTCACGAGTATAGTCTGGATAACACACAGTTGTCTCACTGGTATAGTATGGATAACATGGATATATCACTGGAATAGTGTGGATAACACACAGTTATCTCACTGGGTATAGTCTGGATAACAAATGGTTATCTCACTTGTATAGTATGGATAACACACAGTTGTCTCACTGGTATATTCTGGATAAACACAGTTATCTCACTAGTATATTCTGGATAACACACAGTTATCTCACGGGTATAGTCTGGATAACACACAGTTATCTCACTGGATAACATGGATATATCACAGTGGATAACACACAGTTAGTGTGGATCAACATGGATATATCACTGGAATAGTGTGGATAACACACAGTTATCACATGGGTATAGTCTGGATAACAAATGGATATATAACTTGAATAGTATGGATAACACACAGTTATCTCACTGGTATATTCTGGATAACACACAGTTATCTCACTGGTATATTCTGGATAACACACAGTTATCTCACTGGTATAGTCTGGATAACACACAGTTATCTCATGGGTATAGTCTGGATAACACACAGTTGTCTCACTGGTATAGTCTGGATAACAAATGGATATATCACTGGAATAGTGTGGATAACACAGTTATCTCACTAGAATAGTCTGGATAACACACAGTTATCTCACTGGTATATTCTGGATAACACATTGTTTTCTCACTATTAATCTTGATACCACATGGACATATGACTGGAATTGTCTGAATATAGGAATAATAACCTCTCAATCTATTATTTCTTAGACTTTTTATACCACTGATAACATACCAATAATACATTTTATGCATGCTGTTTAATTATTTGTGCATTTTGAAACTGTTCATTCGTTTCCTGCATTCCAACCATCCACTTGTGAGTACTGGACTCCGTCTACTTGTGTCACGTGAAGCCCTGGCTGTACATCTGACCCCAATACAGATCTCACAACTTGATGCCTTCAGGTGCATGAGTCACAACAATTACTGATAAAAAATGTCCAACAGCCTTCACAAACATTCAGTGACATCTGATAAATAGTCACAACTTGGGGCATATTCAAAATAGGCAGGTAGGCTCTCTCTGTCATTAACTATTAATTCTTTGTAAATTATTCATGACTGTCAATCCACTGACTTCCTGACCATTGTCTTGAGATTATTCCTGAGCTGAACAAGGTCTCTGTAGGCTCCAGTGATGTATGAAGCTCGGGTGGTGAAATGTTTCAGATCATTAATAGGGTCATTGTTTGACCGATTCATCTGTGAAGAATCCATTCATGAACCTTTGTTATTGTTTTATTGTCCTCTTATTGTCTCAATGTGTGGGAGTAGGAAGCCCTTGTGATTGTGTGAGTGGTTCATTTGTGATTGTGTGAGTGGTTCATTTGTGATTGTGTGAGTGGTATATACATGATTGTGTGAGTGGTATATATGTGATTGTGTGAGTGGTATCTTTGTGATTGTGTGAGTGGTATATATGTGATTGTGTGAGTGGTTCATTTGTGATTGTGTGAAGTGGTATATACGTGATTGTGTGAGTGGTATATACGTGATTGTGTGAGTGGTATATACGTGATTGTGTGAGTGGTTCATTTGTGATTGTTTAAGTGGTGTATATATATGATTATGTGAGTGGTATATTTGTGATTGTGTGATCGGTGCATTTGTGATTGTGTGAGTGGTTCAAATGTGATTGTGTGAGAGGTATATTTGTGATTGTGTGAGTGGTATATTTGTGATTGTGTGAGTGGTATATTTGTGGTTGTGTGAGTGGTATATTTGTGATTGTGTGATCGGTGCATTTGTGATTGTGTGAGTGGTTCAAATGTGATTGTGTGAGAGGTATATTTGTGATTGTGTGATCGTTGCATTTGTGATTGTGTGACTGTTTTATTGTGTTAGTAGTGTTAAAACGATTATGATATCCCTGTCTTGATCTCACCATTAGTCCGTTTGTTAGGTTGCCTCAGTAACTGATATCAGTGCCCTCTGTAAGTCAGCTTGTAAGCGACTTCTAGTCTCAAATACTCAATTTCTGATATCCACAGATATTTACATCATGATAGTGACACACCTAAAGTCGCAGGGGCTGATGTCAATGCTCTTTGTAAGCCAGCTAGTGAGAGACCTCAAATATCAGTTACTGATGTCAGTGCTCTCTGTAAGCCATGATAGTGAGAGACCTCTAGTCTCAATTACTGATATGAATGCTCTCTGTAAGCCATGAGACATACCTCTTGTGTCAATTACTGATATGAATGCTCTCTGTAAGCCATGAGACATACCTCTTGTGTCAAGTACTGATATGAATGCTCTCTGTAAGCCATGAGACATACTTCTTGTGTTAATTACTGATATGAATGCTCTCTGTAAGCCAGCTAGTGAGAGACCTCAAATCTCAATTACTGATTTCAATGCTCTCTGTAAGCCATGATAGTGAGAGACCTCTAGTTTCAGAGGCTCATTTTCAATGCTCTCTGTAAGCCATGATAGTGAGAGACCTCAAATCTCAATTACTGATGTCAGTGCTCTTTGTAAGCCATGATAGTGAGAGACCTCAAATCTCAATTACTGATGTCAGTGCTCTTCTGTAAGCCATGATAGTGAGAGACCTCTAGTCTCAATTACTGATATGAATGCTCTCTGTAAGCCGTGAGACATACCTCTTGTGTCAATTACTGATATGAATGCTCTCTGTAAGCCATGAGACATACCTCTTGTGTCAATTACTGATATGAATGCTCTCTGTAAGCCAGCTAGTGAGAGACCTCAAATCTCAATTACTGATGTCAGTGCTCTCTGTAAGCCAGCTAGTGAGAAACCTCAAATCTCAATTACTGATGTCAGTGCTCTCTGTAAGCAATGCTAGCAAGAGACCTCTACTATCAGTGGCTGATATCAATGCTGTCTGTCAGCCATTCTAGTGATAGACTCAGCTGGGTAATGGGAGGAATGAATTACATGGACTGCACAAGCAAGTATTCCTGGTATTACTCATCCAGCAACACCATGGCCGGCATCCCAACAGGTGCCCTCTGGCAGACAGCTGGGTCTGGCAATGTAGATCTCACAGCTGCTCCTCCAAGCTGATATGCATGTGTGGGAATCAGAGTTGGAGCTAAACTAGACATTAACCTTAAAATCTGTGACTGTCTAGGGCACAAAAACCTACTTGTTTGAATTTATCAAGGAGGAAGTGTAACATTTATGCTTCAAGTTGGAAATTAGTTTCTAGGTCACCAATACTTAACAGATAGGTAACAAAGACCATGTGGGGTGTCTGTAGTAGTAAAAGTCCCCAATATCCCATGTATGAGAGGTGACAAATGTGGATTGGATGGTCAATGTGTCCACTGGCTGTGTGCTATACAATTTATGATGGGATCTAACAAGGAGCAAAGAGTAAACTGGAATGTGTGGTTGGATGCTGAATGAGTACGGTTTTGTGCCGCTCTCAGCAAATTTTGGAAATATTACTGAAGGGGACGCCAGAAATGGACTTCACACATTGGGGAAGCAAACCTGGGTCTGTGATGTGACACGTCAACACTTCAACCACTAGGATACCCTACCGCCCCTATTGGAGGGACATTTTCCATGATGATATCCAAATCAACATAACTTTTCCTCCTTCTCAGTATCTTGTGTGACAGGGTGGCCAATCTAGGTTACAGTTTACCAGAGGGGACATTTCTAAGTCTGTAGCTATTGATGTGTGAGATGTTCAGTGATGGATTAAGAAGTCGTCCCCTGCCCCTGAGGGCAGTCCCATGTTTCAGAGTTGGAGAACATACCGGAAGCCAATACTGTCACATGCAGGTTGGCGGCTCAGCATTAGCAGTGAGAGATACTTCATTCAGGAGATCAACACTGTGCCTTACAACTGGAGGCAGTTATTGAATATTTGATGTCTGGAAGCCTCACTCGGGACCAACAGGTCAGACAGCTATTTCAAATATTACATAGAGGCCATAGCAGTTTTTCATGGTTTCTTTAGCAATGATAAAAACCTTTATTTTATGAGGATCCAACCATCAACTAAATGCTTGAAGGGTAATGATCATTTCTACCAAATTTTCTGAGCAGACGACAGTTTTCACAAAATGACAACTTTTGACGATATTGATCCTATATGCTTGAAAGCACCTGCCACAACACAACTCAGGTCAGAATCACAAGTGTGTGTCTGATACACAGATCAAACATCCACTGCTAGAGCACAACAGACGCACAGGCTTCCACTGTTGAACCAGGAGTCAACATTCCTCCTCATCTTGCAGTTTATTAGGCAATCATTGTCATATAATACAAGCCCAGCTACACATGTGGGCTGGCCGTGGAGAAATCCCAGTCTAACTTGACCTGGAATTCCCCACAACTATTCCCTGGTCTCAGGTCTACCTGAACGAGGGAGCTAGCGGGTCTGCCAATCAATCAGTCCGAGTGGCAGCCAGTCAGTCAGCAGCTCCATATCTGACAGCAGGCTAATGCTGGCTGTCCTGCACACTTCCATTCTGTTGCAGCCCCAGTGAGCTGGTGACCAAGGTAAGGCTTGTCCTATCTACCACCTTCCTCCATGCTGCCTGTGGAACAGTTGTGTCGGGATCACCTTGCAGCAAGCTCCATCAGCACGTGCTTCAGTGCAGAGGATGTACCACTGGGATCGTACTGCTAGACTGATGCTCAGCATATGTGAACGCTCACATCTATCATCCAAGTACGTACACGGAGTATTCAGTGTGTCTTTAATGCAGTTCAATATATGTATGTGATCGCTCAGTCTTTCATTCATGTTGGTGCAAGTATTCAGACTCGTTGTTTCCTCAACAATTCTATCCTGAGTATGTAGTATTCACCTGTTGTGTGATAAGTATTCTAGTTTCCTATATTTTCATTAATTTCTGAAATAATAATAATAATAATCTACTTCTATAGCGCCGAGTTCCATACCAGTCCAAAAACCTTGATGTCATTTACTGCAACTTCAGTCTTTAAACCAAAGTTAGAGCAAGATACCACAGATCATCTGCCAACAATCCATGCATTAACAGTAAGACCTATTTTTGATCCGAAAGTCAAGTTCAGGTAGTACTCAAAAGGTTCTATGCAAAGTCACCCACTGTGAACCATGTGAATGAATGATGCCACACCCCTTCCACCACTCCCACACCCAACAGATGCACCTGTACTATGTCCCTTATTGTAAACCCTTCCCACCCTGGTAGCTCAGCCTACACACAGACCCCCACCAAATGCTTTCTTATCACTTATCTCACAAAACAGTCTATGAGCATGCCACAGTATTGGCAGCTGTGTTAATGCAAACATTTGCTCTATGAATAAACCTAAACAAAAGCCATGAAGGCAAATTGGTCTCCTAGTTTAAAGTGTCTTGATATCAGAGTTTGAATACAGACTGGTTTACTAAGTTACACAGGTAAGTGTGACGCTGTGTAGACAGGTGAGCTGAGACTGGAGTAGCGTGTAAGCAACACTCACTTTGATGAAGATGTAAAGATGCGAGAATCAAATCAATATGATACCTAATGTCTAAATTAAAAAAACAACTTAAGGCATGGTTAGAATAGGATGAATATCTGGAAGAATAACATAATGAAATGTAATCAATATATCTGTTTGACTTTCATGGATAATTAAAGTTGGACAACATTCATGATCAAGAGTGTTTTTACCCCAATTTACATAGCATTCAATGAACACTATCACAAATTAAACACGTCATTCAGAAAAGATCTAATGTTTTAAAGTACTATGTGACACAAATCAATACGAGATAAAGAAGGTACAATTTGAAGGACAACAGGGTTATTGATTTTTGCACTTTGCGTGCCTGGCATGACAATGTTGCATGACAATGTTGCATGACATGTCCTCCCTCATGTCACCATGACACAGCCCGGCCAATGGCTTACATGTGTATTAACGGAAGGTTACCGGATCTTTCAGTCTCACGCCAAACCGCAGACAACAAACTGGGCCATGAAACATTACGTAAGATTTCCATCCTCACCCATGCTGCAATAAAACTCCTTCCTCTTACCATGTTATGTCCCTAAAACTGATTACACTTATTGCTTCCTTACTTGATAAAATAAACCATGGTTATGTCTAACAAAAACAGACCCATGAAGATCTGGGTTAGAATTGATCTTCAGTAACCCATGCTTGTCTTAAGACGCAACTAACGGGATCGGGTGGTCAGGCTCGATGGCTGGGTTGACACATGTCATCGTATCCCAAATGTGTAGATCGATGTTCATGCTATTGATCACTGGATTGTCTGGTCCAGACTCGATTATTTCCAGACCGCCGCCATATAGCTGGAATATTGCTGAGACTGGCCTTAAACTAAACTCACTCAAAAAATTAAAATAAATAAAATCCTGCTTATTGCGAATAACATCAATAAGTATCTAAAGTACACAGATGCCTTTATCAGCTTGTTTAAAATATCAACAAACACTTACATGCCTCCCACATCCTTTTTTGTATGAATTTTGGTGAAAATCAAATGTCATTTATAGTTGCCTCGAGATATCATGCAAATAATTCTATAATGATAAATCTCCTACTAAGTTTTCCTCAAGGTGACATTTCCTCGTGGAACAAATATAGAGTGACCTCTTCCTGGATGGAATATAATATAACACTTTCCTGGATGGAATAAATTTAGGGTGACATTTTCCTGAATGGAATATAAATAGGCTGACATTTGTCTGGATGGAATATAAATAAGGTGAGATTGTTCTGGATGGAATATAAATAGGGTGGAATTTCTCTGGATGGAAAATGAATAGGGTGAAATTTTTCTGGATGGAATATACATTGGGTGACATTTTCCGGAATGGAATATATATATTGTGACATTATCCTGGATGGAATATAAATATGGTGATTTTTTCTGAATGGAACTGATATAGGGAATACACATCAGGTGACATTTATCCGTTATCAAGTGAATAATGATCTACGTGCATGTGTTGCCACCAGTACTGTGACAGTATGACATCACACTGACCCCCCTGGACTACCGACATGTCCCGACACCTCACATACATCAGCAGTCCAGCTCACCTCCATCACGGACAGCTAAAGGAAGGGGAGTACAAGAACAATAACTTGCCCTCACTCTGCAATAAACATTGTTTAACAGAATGGGATCACATGAGTGGAGATTATTTAGGGGCTGATTGAGTCATTCAGCAGGCATGTGACAGAGCGGTGAGTGGGGTACAGGTCCTTTGAGGCAGGGCCATGCTGACTTCTGTAAGGTATTAAACACAGGGATCCCACTGGAGGGCTAGCATAGAGATATTCAGGTGAGCTCATGAAAGTTAACAAGGAAAATACTTGCAACAAAAATAAGGATTTGATTATTTTATGTTATGTACATTAAGTGTGTTCAAGCAGAGATTCTAGTACCATTATGTTCAGTCCAGTAAGCTTAGATACCACAAAATCACACTTAAAATGATGCTGAGAGTCAAGTTTGGAATACTGTGGGATACAAGACTTTTCATATAATCATTTTCTCTGTGTTCGTTTGCTTTACCCAAGTGATAGTACATTCATCTGACTTCACATCATAAAATATCATCACACATTATATTTCTTCAAAGAAATGTGATTCTCAATGTACCTTTTAGGAACTGGAAATATGTTTAAAACAACCTACTGACACTAGGAAAGAAATAATTTCAAACTCATTCATTGTAACTAATAGCACACTACTCATAGCGATTGGTATGTGTGATGACATCATTACACACTGAGATCATATTCTGTTTCTGTTATGGGGAAATCATGATATTCTCTTGATTCTACTTCAAGAATCACCAGATTTGTGTGATTCCTGTGACTGAAACCTGTTTATGGTGGCTATAATTTCTCTATATTGATACACATGTAGTCAGTTTTACACATTCAGAACGGCTGGTGAATTCCTGGCTCAAAATCAAGTGCAACAACAATGGACTGACATCATCATACTTGTTTCAGACTTACACATACCCTTTCTCTGTGTATCTGATCCAGATATATAACAGTAGGGGTGAAACGGAATACCACCATATTAGTAGAACAGCAGTATTTTGCCTTTGGTTCGGTATACCGTAATGCAAATCCAAAATTTGGTATTTTCGATTTTCGTACCGTCATTTTATTAACCTTTTAAAACCTTTTCTAAAATGTCTAGAAATCAAATCATTTTGTCAAATTCTTTGCTAGACGGCTGCTATTTTCCTGGAAGTAAGTTCTTATACCGAAACGGACCAAACCGTAGGCTTTGAACTGCAATACGTACCGTACCATGATAAGAGCGTACCGTTTCACCCCTATATAACAGTGTCGAACTACATGAGGGATTGATTCTTCATTGAATCAAATATAGTCTGTTAAGTCAAGAACTGTTCAAATCAAGAGGGATGACGTGTTTTATTACAAATTCTAGTTGATTTCCATATATCACATATCAAAAATGAACTGTTATCAAGTTGAATGTCACCAATCAGGGTGCGATTTTGGGGATATTTTCTCCACCACACTTAGTGCAAACTCCTCTCAACAACTGACTGCACAACAGATAAACTGGCTGCACTTCATTCTTCACAGCAAAATTTAATGTATGTAGCAAAGACTGGCTTTCTGTAGTTTACATAAAGCAGATGTATACATGGACATTGTGTAAAATGAAAGTAACACTTTTTCCAATTTCATTTTATCCTTTATACATATGAATTTGAATTGCTTGATATTCACTATCCTGTTTTATGCAAACTTCATGAACTTACTTCAGTCTGCTTATCTGTACAAGCTGAGTTTAACCTATCAATACACAATGTCCTTTTGAAAGTTGTCAAAAATTACTAAACGATTTTAACCTGCACCAGGGAAATGTTGTCAATGGGAAGTTGCACAAAAAACAACGGTGTCTCGCTCTGCTTCAACTTCATCAGGTACATTCACGTGTACCTATGTTAAGTGACATTCCAGTGATTGTTATTACACCGGAGTTTCTAACCACCTCCTAGCTATCAGGGCATACCTTAACTGTATCGGAATGAGGCTGACTGAAATACTTCATCCTGAATACACTAGAGTCCCAAAGCCTCGTTAGTATCAATCACTCAGGCACACCTCACTGGTTTGCCTGGACCGTTGATTATGCATTGATTACTATTTCACAAATGATAACAATACAAATTGAAGAAATATATTACTATTAATATAAATGTTCTGATATAAATCAGTAACATAACAACAGTATATAGATTTTATGACATTATATATGCCATTATATTCCAAGTAATATTACTATTAAGAAATATATTACTATTAACATAAATGTTCTGATATAAATCAGTAACATGACTCTATATAGATTTTATGACATTTATATATATTATTGTATGCCAGACGAATGAATAGAGAGATAGATAGATAGACAGATGGATGGATGGATGGATGGATGGATGGATGGATGGATGGATAGATAGATAGATAGATAGATAGATAGATAGATAGATACTTATTGAAGTCCAAACATAATAATATAGAGAGATACATATTATTGTAGACCAAAATAAATAATGAAATATTAACTTATAACGGACTACAAACCAAATAAGCCCATGTGTTTTCACTTACAATGACAATACCACTATTTTACCAGTATAGTACATCTTGTGTATTGACTTC